AAAAAAAAAAAAAAAAGAGTCAGATACTTAACCAACTGAGCCACCCTGGTGCCCCTCAATGGGAATTTTTAAAAATTTGTTAAAGACTTTTACACAGTTTAGGGATGTTTTAATTATTGTATTTAATTCTGATTTTCTGTGCTTTTCAGTTTTTCTTGGTCTTCCCTGAATATTAGATACTTGTCTGGCTCGTGTACCCAAATCAGTGCAACTCTTGTATGAAGAGTTTCTTCAGAACCTTGGCTTACATATAGGAAAGTTGAATTTATAGAAAGCCTGGTATTAACGTGAACAGTGTTTTCCTCCGTGTTTACTCAGTTTTTTTTAATTGAGAAAACAGCGCATCCCTGTCTTTAACTTTTTGCTGTTGTGATTTTTACAGTACGTAGGTAAGACTGTTCCCTTGTTAATAGTGATCTTCTCTCCTGAATCAGATGTCCTGCCTTACTCAATACGGGTCCTGTTGGAAGCTGCTGTGCGGAACTGTGACGGCTTTCTGATGAAAGAACAGGATGTCATGAACATCTTAGACTGGAAAACCAAACAACGCAATGTTGAAGTGCCCTTTTTCCCAGCCCGTGTTCTTCTTCAAGATTTTACGTGAGTGGTAGAGCATTTCCTTTTTATTTATTTAAAAAGTATTTATTTATTTAAAGGGAGAGAGAGAGCATGCGCTGGGAGGGGGGTTGGAGGGGGGGAGAGAGACAGAGAATCCCAAGCAGATTCTGAGCTGACAGTGCAGAGCCTGATGTGGGGCTCGAGCCCATGAACCATGAGATCAGGACGTGAGCTGAAATCAAGAGTTGGACGCTCTACCGACTGAGCCATCCAGGCCTTTTGAACATTTCCTTCTTAAAATTCAAACTCCGTGATGGTTGGCTCTGCAGTTTTTAATTCTGAAGATCAGTCTGTAAATGTAAAGAATTGTCTTTTCTAAACTAAATAAATTCATTAAAAAGTAGGCACTTGTTTCTTATACACTCTGTCGAAAAACTCTTTTTGCTGAATTGCCTGCTTGTCTTTAGCTAGCGAGTGGCTTGTCAGACTTAGCACATCCAGAGATTGATTGCCCAGCAGCCACACCTGTCCCTTTCCAGGTCTCTTCTGTCATAGGAAATGCCCTATAGCCTCCATGCATGTAGGGCAGAGATCCAGGGGTTGACCTTGACCCCTCTCTTCCCACTGTGTGTAATCCACGCTGTCCACAAGTTCCACGGACTCTACGTTTCAGACGTGTCCTCTTACCATTTCCACCACTATCCTGGTCCTGGCCCCGGGACTACAGCTGTTACAGTCTCTAGCCTGTGTCCCTGCTTGCACACTTCCGAGTCGGTAGTTGTCTTTGCACAGCATGTTGTGATTTAATTAAAAATGTTAACTAGGGCCGCGTCATGCCCCCGTATACTAGTGGGTTTCCGTCACACTTAGAATTCAAGCGAAAACGTTTGACCCCGGCTTGAAAGACTTTGCCTGATCTGGGTGTCCAGGGATTAGTAATTGGAAGAGTTAACCTTCAACTGAGTTTCAAGGGAGGTATAGAAGTTAGCTAGATAATTAAGAACATCTCCTTCACCCCCACCCAAGTCTGGTTCGTGTGCCACTGCTTTGTACCCTCTGTTTGCTGCCGTATTAGTCCTTGTGTTACTGTTGTGCGGACTCCTGAGAGGAGGCGCTGTCTCTGACCAGCCTGTGTCGTTGATGTCTGGCACCCTGCAGGCATGTGGTGAATGCTTGTTGTGTTGTCAGCCGGAGAGACGTATGTCTCGTGGAGAGCTTTGGAGTAGTAGACAGGCACTGAGAGGAAGGGCATGGGGCCAGGGCGAAGGGAGGGAGCGGGGTGTCAGAATCTAAGACAGGGAGAGAATTCCGTAGACAGTTCTTGAAGTTGCCTCACGTCTCTAAAAATCATGTCTCGTTATTTTTGGTGTGTCTGCCCCCAAGCACTCAAGTTCTCAGGTAATGTTTAATTCTCATTAAACAGGATTCGTCTAACTTTGGGTAACAAGTACATGATCTAACACGAATGCAAACCAGAAAGGGATACTTTCAAATGTAAAAGTGAATAGATGTGTATTATTTGAGCATACGAAAGAGGAGCGTGAGCCATACTTTTCATTTCTTTACTTTGTAGTGGAATACCAGCAATGGTGGACTTTGCTGCTATGAGGGAGGCAGTGAAGGTTCTTGGAGGCGACCCTAGGAAAGTCCACCCTGCCCGTCCGACAGATCTCACAGTTGACCATTCTTTACAGATTGACTTCAGTAAATGGTAAGAGCAGATACTTGTGCAGACAGCCAGCCCGCTGGGGCTGTGTGGTGAGAAGAAGGGGAGTAGAGACAGCGAAGCCTGAGTACGGGGCGCGAGGTAGTATCCCCTCGTGTATGAAAGGAAAAGCTGGTGAAGTGTACGTACTGGTGCATTTGTTTAACTCAGTCTGAATTTCAAATGATACTCATGTTTGTAGAATTCTGCCATTTTTGATAGAGACATTGGAGCCTAGAACCTGCTTTGTGGAGTGCCCATCTGAATTCATCTTCATTTTCTTTTGTTTTTTAACCTACTTGGCCTTCGAGAGAGAACCTAAAGATGTGAACCATGAATGTCTTTAGGTAATTGGTGATTAAAATCACAGAGCTTGCTAAAACTCCGTTTCCTTCCCCTGAAATACGTATGTTCTGCGTGAAAGGTCCCTGTGACCAAGGTCAAACTGGAGAAGACCTGATTGTGTTGCGATGTGCTGGCTTTTGCTTTCTCACCCCCTGGAGCCTGGTAGCCAGACGGGATCGTCCCAGCCCCTGAGTGCTCTCGCCCTTGAGATTAGCACTGTGGCTCTGTGCTGCTCTTGAGTTGATAGATGGGAAAAGGACCTAGTTAGGTGTTTGCTAGAAGCTCGATTATTACGGAAGTGTGTGAGATGATTTTTTTGGGCATGCGGAGTTGTGCTGTCATCTCCGTAAACTTAAATGACCTATTTGAGTTTTTTGTTTTTGTTTTATTTTATTATTATTATATTTTTGCAATCTGAGATTTGCTTTTGAAACCTGAATTAAATGCTGTATTAACATTGAACAACATTTCAAATGTGCGTTTTGAAAAGCTACATTTGTGTCACTTTCCGATGGTTTTATTCTGTTTCCTCTTTTGGAATGCTAGTGCAATACAGAATGCTCCAAATCCTGGAGGTGGTGAGCCGCAGAAAGCAGGAAAGCTCTCTCCACTCAAAGCGCAGCCTAAGAAGGCTCCCTGCAGAGGCCAGACCGCCTGCCGAGGATCCTGTGATTCTGGAGAACCAGGCCGGAGCTCAGGAAAATTTTCTTCGCAGATTGAGAACACACCCATCCTATGCCCTTTTCATTTGCAACCAGTGCCTGAGTATGGGATTTTCTAAACATACTGATCCGAGCCAGGTTATGTTTTAGTTAAGGAAATCTCACCAGTCTCCTTCCCTTCTGTCCCTGTTAGGTAGCCTCACTTCCATACGTGTGTTTCCTGTTGTGCTGAGAGAAGCAAAGTTAATTAAAATGGTAGTCTCTGAAGACCAGTACCTACTTCTCCTTAGGAAGAACAGAACCTTTCTGAAGGTTTTTCTGTAAATATATTTAATTTTTGTGAGTAATGCAGGCAGAAGAATGGGATCTCGTCTTAAACTTTGAATTTCTTATTTTAGTGAATTTGTACCATTCGTGTGCTCACTATACGTTCATGTTTCTTTTGTGAATTCCCTGTTTATAGTTTCAGACTTCTTGCTTTTTCCAATCGCATAAAGAGCTCGGTGTTAAGAATATTATGATTGTTGTAGATTACAAACTTAGTGAGCCTTCTGAGGTAAATAATTGCCTGTATGGTGCCGTGGGAAGTAGTGGACCTGCCCAGGAAAGAATTCTGTTCTTAGGAGTTGATAAAATTTCCTAATAGGTAATTTTTTAAAAAAAACTATACTTCAGTTTTTATATGCTATGAAATTTTCAAAGTTGAACTCTTACTTTTAAGAGTTGTTTTACCCCATTGTCAAGAGACTGTCAAAATTTTTTTAATTTATGGGGCACCTGGGTAGCTCAGTTGGTTAAGTGTCTGACTCTTGATCTCAGCTCAGGTCTTGATCTCAGGGTCGTGAGTTCAAGCTCTGCGTCGGGCTCCGCACTGGGCTTGAAGCCTACTTGAAAAAAAAAATTTTTTTTTTTTTTTTTTTTTTTTTTTTTTTTTTTTTTTTTTTTTTAGTTTAGTTAAAAAAAATGACATACTTTTTCAAATTTTAAAAATTTTAACACATTTAAGATTTAAAATAGCTAAGAAAAATATCGACACATACTTTATCCTAAGCACCACTGATACGTTAAATTGGATCTTTCAAATTCTTGGTAGTTGTACAAGTTGGCGCTCAATGTTTAATGAGGCCTCCAGTCAATAGTGACCTCTTCCTTGCTAAGAATTCAGGATGATCCGTGGGTCCTTTGCCATCAGGTTATGACAGTTTTATGTAATCAGTCCTTGTTCCTGCTACCTAGTTGTCCTGATGGTGAGATACGGGTTGACTTTTGAGATTAACATCTCTTCTTACACAGAAATCAGTTTCCTGAAAAGGAAGACTTCCTGATTCAAACACCGTTGATTTTTTTTGGACTGCCTTTTTGTAATTGGCACAGTACAAAGTGCTGAGATGGTCTGTTTTTAATTAAAAATCCAATCTGTTGTAACATTTCCCCTCAGTTTTGAGTCCAGATTATACAGCATTCGGATGGGCTGACTGTGGTCCCTGGCCGTATGAACATAGTGGCTCTTCTGTGCACGTCGGTGTCCCAGGGAGGTGTTTCTCACAGGCCCAGCCAGAGAGCTGAGAGTGTACACTAGGCCCTTGAAACTGCCGCCTAACTCGAAGTCCGGCTCTGAGCTAACGAGGGGGGTGCTCTGGAGCCTTGCTCGCTGTGGGAACTGAGCTGTGCTCCCTGAGCCCTGAGAAGAAGCACATAGACATGCACTGTGGCTTCGAGTGACCATGCAGCAACATGACCTTTGTTTTATTTTACTTATTTTTGTTTATTTTTATTAATTTAAAATGTTTATTTTGAGAGAGCGTGGGCAGAGGAGAGTCAGAGAGAGAGAGAATCCTGAGCAGGCTCCGCAGTGTCAGCACAGAGCCCGGCACAGAGCTCGATCTCATGAACTGCAAGACCGTGACCTGAGCCGAGATCAAGAGTCGAACGCTGAACGGACTGAGCCACCAGGCGCCCGTCTGTTTTTTTGGTTTTGTTTTGTTTTGTTTTGTTTCAACGTTTATTTATTTTTTTGGGGACAGAGAGAGACAGAGCATGAACAGGGGAGGGGCAGAGAGAGAGGGAGACACAGAATCGGAAACAGGCTCCAGGCTCTGAGCCATCAGCCCAGAGCCTGACGTGGGGCTCAAACTCACAGACCGCGAGATCATGACCTGGCTGAAGTCGGACGCTTAACCGACTGCACCACCCACGCGCCCCCGTTTTTTTGGTTTTAATGTTTACTCATTTTTTTATTAAAAAACTTTTTTAAAGTTTATTTTTGAGAAAGACAGAGTGTGAGCAGGGGAGGGGCAGAGGGAGAGGGAGACACAGAATCCGAAGCAGGCTCCAGGCTCTGAGCTGCCAGCACAGAGCCCGACGTGGGGTTCGAACCCATGAACCATGAGATCATGACCTGAGCCGCAGTTGGACACCCAACTGACTGAGCCACTCAGGAGCCCTGTTTCTTTTTGTTTGTTTTTTAAGTTGACAAACAACTGTAATTTTCTGGACCCTGGAGAACGTGTATAATTTAAGTCGTATTGATACTCTAGTTAACAATCGCCAGCTGGCAGGCGAAGTACCTTAACACTGCTAGAAATCATTTAAAAAAAAATTTTTTTTTTTTAATGTTTATTTCTGAGAGAGACAGAGACAGAATGTGAGTAGGTTAGGGGCAGAGAGAGAGGGAGACACAGAAGCAGAAACAGGCCCCAGGCTCTGAGCTGTCAGCACAGAGCCTGACGCGGGGCTCAAGCCCACGAACCGTGAGATCATGACCTGAGCCGAAGTTGGACGCTCAACCGACTGAGCCGCCCAGGCGCCCCTAGAGATCATTTTTTAAATGTCCGTTAGATAAAAATAGCTTTCTAAAAGTGGCACAGTGTTTACTGTTTGGAGGTGGATTGTTTTTTATCTCTTAGTTTAAATAATTTATGTAAGATATGTTTATAGTCCATATACTTCTACATAAGATAGAACTTTCCAATTTGGGTGAGTTGAATACAAGGTTTTTGCTGAAAGTTTCTTAGGCGCGAAGTGGCGTCGCACCGTGGTCACCGCTGTGCCACACTAGTCCACGCCGCCCGGCCGTGCTGGCACCGGGGCCCAGCGGGGGGAAGGGAAGTGCACGTGCTGGGTGCAGGCCACACCACTGCCCTCCCTCTTCCTGCTGAGGGGAATCCAGCAAAGGTTGCTCTGTTCTTTTTGATACGTTGAGCCAGCTCACACAGTGAGTCAGTACGGTTCGGGACACTGGGATGGAATAGCTTTCTGGTGTGGTGTTTAAAACAGAACTTCTGTGTTGCGAGAAAGCAGCTGATTCTGAGAAGTCTCTCTGGTAAATTGCTGTTCCAGGAGTTTTTAAGATGTGTGTGTGCTCGTGAGAATGAATTCTTAGAAACAAGGTAAGTCTTCTGTGTAATACATACGTGTAATGCTGGCTTTTCTTCCTTTTAGACCCGAAACAGTGTTAAAAAACCAAGAAGTAGAATTTGGCAGAAATCGAGAGAGGCTTCAGTTTTTCAAGGTACACATGATTTGAGGAAATTTTTATATTTAAATTTATAAAATAGTGATGAGTACGGTTTTTGTGTCCTTTAGTAGTCCTTAAATGCTTTGTAGCAGTGGACCCCTTTCCTCCTTCAGATAAGATCTTGTTGGAAACCCCAGTGTATAAAACAAGATAAAAACTAAGTGACTGTAATTCACTGTGGTTCCTACCATTTATCTGGACTTACTAGATCATTTTTCTTTGACCTAATTTTGATTTAATAATCTGCAAAATGAATATGTTTAGGGTTAGTATTTACATACTTGTTTTTACGTGTATGCTATCAACTTTGACCATATTGAACGTCGGTAAAGTATTTTTTGTGTCAATATTGCATCTTGATTGTGAGCACAAGGTGATGTACTAACGCTTGGATTTTTTAAAATGCAAACATAATATAGTGGAGTTCAAGAGTTTTTAAGAATGTGGCTGTAATCCCTCCCGGAACTGGGATGGCTCATCAAGTTAACTTAGAGTATTTGTCAAGAGTGGTTTTCGAAGAAAAAGACCTCCTCTTCCCGGACAGCGTCGTCGGCACAGACTCTCATATAACCATGGTGAATGGATTGGGGATTTTGGGGTGGGGTAAGTAGATGACTAAATATATTTAATTTGGGGGTGGGGGGAGATGATTCAGGAACACTGCAAAAGAGCATACGTAGCAGGTCGGCGGGCTCTGTGGCCTCTTCGAGGCTGTTTCTTCATCTGTCATAGCAACAAAAACGAGCGTTAGCCTTTGCGGACAGTGTGGCGTGAGGGAGGGTTTATGAACACGGTGTGCGGCGCCCGGCCAGGCACTGCTGTTGTGGAGCAGCTGTGGTGGAACGTTGTCTGTGAAGGCGATGCGGCCTAGGCCTGTGCTCTGGGCCTGTGTGACTGCTCCCGGCCGTTCGTGCACGTGTGTCTTGCACACGAGTGTTTACTGCCCAGCGTGGGCTGTGCTTTTACTGGACGCCTCGTGGCTTTGCCCAGGCTGTCCCTCTGGCAGGGCGCATGCCCTCCTTGCCGGGTCAAGAAGTCTTTGTCATTGGCCGGAGCCTCTTGAGGTTGGCGGTTCTGGGTTCCGTTCATATCTATGCCTTGAGCCTAGCGCGGTACTTAGCGTAATAAAGACTGTTTATTGAATTTAATAGGAAGGTGAGCACCAATTTCTTTCAACCACGTGAGTGGAGTCATTCCTTAGGACTTGGGTCCACATGCACAGTAAGAGCGAGTGTGGTCAGACCAGCTCCTCAAGCACTCAGAGCGCTCGGTGCCCCAGAGAGAACCACAGTTGAACTGTGCCGCGCTAACGTTTGTCTTTGTCACTTCAGGGGTCGGAGGCATCGAGACAGAAGCAGTTATGCTTGGCCTGCCCGTTTCTCTTACGTTGCCGGAGGTGGTGGGATGTGAGCTAACTGGCTCGTCAAACCCTTTTGTTACGTCCATAGATGTTGTTCTTGGCATCACGAAGGTAATTGTGGCACCTGTGTGACTCAGTGGGCGTGAATCACAGGGGCCCCTCGAGAGCAGGGTTGCATTTGCTGCCGCATCCTCAGGGCTCTGGCCTCCCTGGCCGTGGCCTCGCAGCTGTCCTCACAATCACGGCAGCGGTCGGGAACCCTCCCTTTGTCTAGGGTGTTGGACCATTGTTCACGTGACACGTTGACTCGCGTGTTCCTCATTACAAGCCTGTGGCGTCGGTCCTCGGACTGTCCCCATTTCCATTCTGAGAAAATGGACATACCCTTGGGCTCAGTGACTCGCGGAAGGGACACTGGGCCGAGCAGTGGGAGGTGGAGTAAGGCCCCTACCAGGCCGGCCAGGCCCTCGGCCCTGGGCTCTCAGCCATGTTGCCTCAGTAAGCGCTTGTTGCCCCTGGATTAGAAAATCGTATTTAGGAAAATAATTGCATCTCCTTGAATGCTGCTTTTAAAAATTTTATTTATTTCTTAATGGTTGAGAGAGAGTGACAGAGCGCACGTGTGTGAGCGGGGAAGGGGCAGGGAGAGAGGCATACGGAGACTCCCAAGTAGGCTCTGTGCTGACATCAGAGAGCCCAGTGCAGGGCTTGAACTCATGAACTGTGAGATCATCACCTGTGCTGCAGTAGGACGCCCAACCGACTGAGCCACCCAGGTGCCCCCCGCATCTCTTTTAATACTTAAATGAATCATTTGCCCTCAAGAAACTGTTCTACTGGATAATACGGACTGTAGAAGTGTGGGAGGGTCAAGATTTTCTCTTGGCTGTTTAAACACTTTAGAAGGATTTTATAAAAACTTCATCTGAATTTTAAAAATATTGGCTGCGTGCATTTAGTACATGTACTCTAGAGTTTCCTAGTGAACAGCAATTTGTAACTGTCCATCCTAAATCTCTGATTTTGAAAAAAAAATTTTTTTTTTAACGTTTAGAGACAAAGTGTGAACAGGGGAGAGGCAGAGAGACAGGGAGACACAGAATGAGAAGCAGGCTCCAGGCTCCAAACTATCAGCACAGAGCCCCATGCAGGGCTCAAACTCATGAACTGTGAGATCGTGACCTGAGCTAAAGTTGGACACTCGACCAACTGAGCCACCCAGGCAGTGCCCCCTAGATTTCTGGTTTTGACTAGTTACATTTTATTTTATTAAAAAATTGTTTCTTCAACGCTTATTTTTGAGAGTGAGACAGTGCGAGCAGGGGAGGAGCAGAGAGAGAGGGAGACACAGAATCTGAAGCAGGCTCCAGCCTGAGCTGTCAGCAGAGTCTGATGAGGGGCTCGAACCCATGAACTGTGAGATCATGACCTGAGCCGAGGTGGGACGCTGAACTGACTGAGCCACCGAGATGCCCCTTGACTAATTCTATTTTAATGATTAAGTCCATTCTGTTAAATAAATGCACATGGGAAATCTCCCACCTATAGCTCCAATTCAGATCCTGGAGCAGCCACTTGTCTGGTTAGATTGCTGGTCTGAAGGCTTTCGAAATTCTCTGCAGAGGAAGAAAATGGTCCTGCTTCCTTCTTAGCATTTAGTGTTGATCCTTCTTCCCTAATTAGGAAAAATCTGACGCCTTGCAGAAATGATTGATTCAGTGTATGGCCCCAGAAGATCAAGAAGCTAAATTGAGAATTGCAGGATCATTTCTAAAGGAAAAGGAATATCTCATTATGGATTTAGAGAAATCCACACTCTCCTCTGGACATCCTGAAAATAAATGCCACTTTTTAGACCCCTCTGGCTTTGTTTTTTGTTTTTTTTAATTTAATGTTTATTTTTGAGAGAGACCGAGCATGAGTGGGGGAGG